ATCATCTCTTCCTCTAGACTATAAATTGACACGTGTAGGGGCCATCTCTTTTCTAAAATAGAACAAATTTCAATTCTTTTTAAATAATAACATTTTATTAAATATGAATTAACTTAATGAATAATGTGGTTTGTTATATGAATTATTGCAATAATGTAAGTGACCCAGGATTAATTAGTGTCTATGTCAATTTTTCATGACAAAAATACCTATTCTGATTATGCAACCAAGATGACATTTACAAACTCAAGCAATATCTAAAACACGTGACATTTTGAGAGACATTGCATAACTCATTTCTTATATTATTTGAAAAACCTACATATATAAGATTCTCATAATTCAGAATTACTTCAGACTCTTTCTTCATAAATAACCTTTGAATGAGTATGTAAGAGTCTATTTGGTGCTATGGTTTATATAGAGATGACCCCCAGAGCCTCATGTACTCATAGGTGGGGCTCTTTGAAGGAGATTGGATCACGGGTGCATGATACTTGTCAGTGGATGAATTTATAGCTAAGTGTGATATTGGGAGGTGAAGTCTGCTCAGAGGAAGTTAGTCACTGGGGATGTGGCCTGAAAGGGAAGATTCCCTCCTTGCTTCCCTTGATCTTTCACGGCTTCTCGCTACCATGCCATGAGCTGCCTTTTTCTTTTCCGCCATGCCCCTCTGCCATACCACCCTGCCTTAAAGCCTCCTAACTATGGACTGAAACAGCTACAAACTGTGAGGCAAAATAAATCTCTCTTCCTTTAAGTTGTGAATATATGATATCGTCTGTCAGCAACAAAAATGTTAACTAAGACATTTGTTAGCACCAGTATCAGAACAGTAGATTAACTCTCAAAATATCTTATTGGTAAAATTACCATAATTTTAAAACATGAATTATAAACTTAAATATTTACTTGCTCCAAAAGTATACAGACTTCATATTACACCTCAATGTTGCATTCCTACTGCATAACCCTAGGGGTCTTAAGGTCTGATGCTCTGTTGAATGCAGGTGACCTCAGAAGATAAAGGATCTTCTCCCTCATCCATCACTATCAATGAATTTTACAGTAATCATGAGCTGCTAATTTAAACAGGGCCTGACAAGAATCAAGAAGATCCATTTTAATTGAAATTTAGAGGACAACAAGACTACAAGAGAAGAAAGGACACCAAAGACATAAAACCCTGTGATTTCATCATTCCTAGGCCACCTTGCCTGGGATTAGAGATGACACTGTTCATACTTTGAGAAGTTCAGTCACTTGGCAGTTGCAGCTCACCTGTGACCATCACGCATCCTTTGCTTCTCAGGTTTTCTCTTACCGACCTGTCAGTCTAGGTGACATAAATTTACCAAGTAAGTGTTACACCCACTTCTATGCAATGTGTAAAAATTATCACATTATTAAGCATCAGGAAGAGTTGAGTAATGTCAGGATGTTGTCATTGAAATAACGAAGTTGTCATCTTATTTCTTTTTTCACCCAGAACAATCCCAGGTGAGGAGAACAATGTTTGCTAACGTCAGTCATAGGGTAGGTACCACCATAGTAGAAATTGAATTTTAAAAATCTCCCAAAAATTATTTTAGCAAAATAAAGGAAATACAGACCAACATTTGTTTCTAGGGGATATTAAAAATCTAGGTAATTTTTTTTAGTGTGTCTAAGATATAAACTTCAAACTAAATATAATTTTGGAATAGATACACCTTGGGGAAAAGAGAGGTGGGAGGGAAAGGAGATTGCCGAAACACCCTTAAGGCTGTTCTTCAGACATTTATGACTACACAGTATATTATGTTCTGTTTCTCTGAATCAATAAGTAGCAAAGCTCTCACACAAAAATATTCTCAGAGGGGGAAAAATGCAAAACTAGTGAAACATATAAAGGCAAAAATGTATATGAAATAATTTTTTCTTGTCCTCACTTCTCTTTGTCAATCAGCTAATCAACAATTAGCAGATGAGTATATGATTAAAACACTCACAGATAGATCAACAATTTAGTTTGTTCTGTTTTGCATTCTGTGTGTGTTTCTAGTAAGGGAGGATGTTAGTGTTTCAAAAGAGGGCAAGGCTGAGCTGAGCACTGAGCAATCCCTATGTGCTTTGTAATTTACATGGATATCATATTGAGTTCTTATAACAACTTTATGACTTTGACACGAATATTACCCCACATTTTAGAGAGGAAATTGACACACATTATGATAAAGTCATATCCTTAGCCATTACTGTTATGCATGGTATTAAAACACACAGGTAGCCTTGGCCCCAGTCCTATGCTTAGCTATGGTGCAGCTAATCTTGGTCTGGTTATCTGACTTTCTATGTGCACTTGTGAATCCTTGAGCTTTTACAATGTCACTCTGGCTGCCTACTTAACTGCCTATCTCTCCAGTAATTTGAAGGCATGACTTTTTATGGTAGTTTTTTTCTTATTGCCTCACATGTTACTGGCATATAATATATGAATAAGAAATGTTCCCCAATCAATAATTTCCCTTCAAATGAAAATAAAAGTAAAGACCTATAAGAGACAACCTACCTGGATTGAAACCTTGGTGCTGATATCCGCTCTTTGACCATAGGCAAATCACTAACCCCTTGGTGCCCATTTCGTTGGTAGAATAATAGTCCCCGCTTCACAGTATCACTGCCCAGAGTAAATGTTAGAATTAGAGAAATAAAACTGGGCGTGGTGGAGCACACCTGGAATCCCAGCACTCGGGAGGCAAGGCAGGAGGGTCACGGTGAATTCAAGGCCAGCCTGCACTGCATCGTGAGACTGTCTCTCAAAAAAGAATTAAACGAATTAAACTGTATCTGGCAGGTGAGAAACAATTTAATGAGGAATTCAATTGATAGACTCCTTACTTGAAGAAGTCAATAGAATGACTTTTTCAAAAATATAAAAGTTCCATTATTTTGAAGGTCTGTTGAGATTCAAAGGACCTGGTGTGCTGCTGCACGCTTGTCATTCCAGTTACTCCAGACGCTGTGGCAAGAGGATCATGTGAGTTTCAGACTTGCTTGGGAGACAGATCAAAATACAGTTTCAGAAAAACTCAAAGTGTGAATGAATGAAAGACAAGAGTGATATTAATACATGAATGTTCTTTACAATTTAGCTATAAGTAGAATTTTATATATTAGACAAGTATCCTCACTATACCTTGTGCTTTAGAATTATGGTTAACGACTTCAGAAAATAACTGCTTATGAATTTTAAAGTAATAACTCTAACTCAAAGTGGGAGAACATAAGAACAACTTTTACGTATTAAAAAATACATATACCCGGGTCTTAGTCCCAGAGATTCTGATTCCTCAGAACCGAAGTGGGAGCAAGGAATTTGTACATGATGTTCTGGGGTGTGTGTGTGTGTGTGTGTGTGTGTGTGTGTGTGTGAGAGAGAGAGAGAGAGAGAGAGAGAGAGAGAGAGAGAGAGAGAGAGAGAGAGAATCTGGATGACCTTAATTTAAAAGAGTTCCATTCCAGCTGGCTATTGCACTCCCCTCCTAGACTTTCCCAGGAATACAGTGGCAATCAGGAGCCAGTTGAGAGATCATTCTGCCACAAACCATCCCGGATTTACCAACAGTGTTCGTAAAAAATCCTTCTTAGAGGATTTTCTGCTAGCTCCACTGAGCTTCTTCTGCTCAGTTACTAAATATTGAAGAATTTAGAAAACATTTTATTTAAAAGTATTAGGAACTTAATAATTCATTTGTTCGGTAAATAAGCCTATGGTTAAAATTATTGGCACTTCTTTTGGTAAATACTTTAAACAATTAAAGGAAGTATATTGTTTTTTAAATAATATTTATTTATATTTTTAAATAATATATTTTATATTTATATTTCTTAAATAATAAAGATACTGATATTATCATCTATCCTGTTTCCAATGAAAGCTTACTTTTCCCTATGCCAATTCATTTTCTCTTCATAATAATCCTGTAAAGGATGCATTATTTCTCTTTTATTGATTAAGAAACCAACATGCAGAGTAGTTGAATAATTTGTTTCAGATGAGCTCGGGTTCACATCTAGATCTCTAACTCTATGTCCAGAGTTGTCTCCCATTCTTTGACAGAAAAAAAGCAGGCATTTTTCTCTTCTGTAGGGAAAAATACATCCAACTATTTCAACTACTTTCTAAAGTATTATCAATGTATCATAACCTTTTTGGTAATCCGACTTTCTCGCAGACAGTCGGTCTTGTTTGTTAGAAGTGCTCCACAACCCCCACAGTGAGGAGGCAGTGAAAACTGGCAGCACGGGCCAGAGTCTGACTTAGTCAAACATCAATCCACTTGTAAAAGTCCTTGGAAAACGAAAAATGTCTTTAGCATTTTGCCAAGAAGTGGAGAGGAGGCCGGCTTGAAGGTTATATGAGCTCCCTTCCCACAGTTCACAACACTCTCCCTCACAACTTCAAACCTCATTATGTATTTTTTCCTTCCTTTTGATCATTTTAATGCACTTGAAAATGCATTTTTCCCTGTAGGACAGACAAAACTGCTGAGTAGCCCTCTGGGCAGCCCACACTGGCACGCGACCCATCGTTTTGGGTTCAGTGATCTCCTCATCTGGCTCAGGTTGCTGCCAACGGGAAGGGCAACATTTGCATTCTGTGATCTGGCAGCTTCTCTCAAGGCAGCCACTGCTCCAACACCTGTTCTGACCTTTTTGTCTCTCCTCATGCAGAGCCTTTCCCTTCGGTCCTCTGGCAAAGCAAAACTGGAAAAAATCTAGGACTAGCAGTTTCTGACCCACTTTTTAAAAATTTAGGTAGGGAAGAGGTGACTTAGTGACTGAGTCATTTTTCAGCTTTGTTCTATTTTCATTGATTCTTTTATTTAATGCATGCTTTCTTGGGGCAGTTGTGTGCCAAACATCCTGTTAAGCACAGATAATGATTAATAACCTACTCTTTGCCCTGGAAAAGCTGGCCAGGGGAGGGTTCATAGCATGGCCCCAGAGAGGCATGTTCAGGGAATGCGGGAGCACAGAGAAGACTCGCCATTCCCAGGCCTGGGAGTGGGGTGCCGGGAGAGGGAGAGAGGATGCTTCTTGTGGAGATGGCTTCTTAGTTCACTCTGAGAAGACGAGGGTGAGGAATCTTATTGAAGTGGGAGAGGGCAGCAGACTAGGACTTGCCAAGGACACCAGAGGTAATGGGGACATTGCAAGCTGAGACTTTGACGAAGACAAGTGCATCTGAGAGTGTGGGTGGGTCAAGTGTGTAAAGATCTGTGCGAGGATGTGTGTGGTGGTGTGTGCTGGGGAGGAGAACAGATTCCACTCAGCCCTGCATTTTTGGTGTGGAGCGGGTGGAGTGGAGAGCAGCAGATGAGGCTGGAAGGCAGGAAGTGAGGGCTACTCTTGGTGATCCAATCACTGCTAACAAGGTTGATTCACATGTGCATGATTAGGCCAAAAGCAGAGCATTTCAGTTGGGGAAAGAAGTAGAAATAATCATGACAAGACTTACCCGCACTGTCACTGAGTGTCCCTTGGTGATGTAGCCCCAGCATGTGTTGGAATAGTCACAATTAATTAATTGCCCAACTTATTCCATTTCTGTGTCTCAGTCTTCTCCCACACCAGACACCTTATGTATTCGATTTCCTCACTTAAACCTTATTTTCCAGACATTAAGAGCCTAAGGAAAATATTATCTCATTCTCTTACATACGGAGATAGCCGCCCACCCTGCCAACCACAATGACAGGGCACTTTTCTATTTAAACTGATGAAACCTAAAAAATTGGACGATAAATTGCTATTGTGTTCCCAAGATGTTAAATACCAGGACTCAGGGAGATGCCAGAGAAATAGCGTATTGCTTTGAGTCAGTGGCACCAGCAGTTATAAGGTACAGCACAACTTTAAGTTGACTGAAAAAGAACAGTTCCAGCTACCTGGCAGCATGGTGTCCTGCAGACTGTATGAGTGCGTGAGCTGGCCAAACCAAGCCTCAGTGCAGGGCAGTTTCTTTCATCAACTCAGAGGTAACCGGCACTTTTTTCCTTCCTCAGTCACCTTGTTTGGTACATGATAAGCAGCCTTCTTGCCCGCAGTTTAGTACAAAATTTCAACCACTGACAGTCTCTCTTTCTTAGGTTACATGTAGCACTTAGCTATTGTTTTGGAAGAAAATACGGAACCATAGTCATCTTCCCAATTATTTGTATCGGCTTTACCACGATTAAATTCATCATCCATTTCTCTGCTCCTGTGCAGTTCTGTAGACTAATTGCTCTTATTTTGCTGCTGAATTATAATATGGGCATCTTAAGTGACAATTACATTCATCATATAAACGATGACATAATTCAACTGATGTGATGACATAACCAAGAGTTACGACCAGGTTCATCACTGTGCAGGTCACGGCAATTCCGTCATGATGGTAACAGCAACAACCAATACATTACAACACACCCTGCTCTCAAAGATAAAACATATGTGAGACCAGGGGGAATGTACCTTAGAGCGGATGAGACAACCCTCTCTTCCAAAGGTCCATGTGTATATTTCCTCATGGAAACAAGATAAAAAGTGTAATATGGTAGCCACAGGTCAGTGGCTTATTAACTTTCTTTTATTTTAAAGAAACTAGTTAAAAAAAAGAACAATAGCAAAATGCCAACATCACAGACATAAAACAAAGCAAGAACATTAGAAATGATGTAGAGTTTCAAAACAAAATGATAGGAATTAACAGTGGCTGTTATATTACATGTTGCTATCTTCAACTAAGTTGCTCAGATTACCAGATGTAAGAATGTTAAGATTGAATAAATCCTTAATGAGAATAAAAAAATGTATTAAAAAAAAAACATTAGAGATGATACAGAGTTTGACTAGACAAAATGGTAGGAATCTACCAATGGTTGTTCTATTGCATATTGTTGTCTTCAAGAGAAAACAATGCTAAAATTCATCTGGAACCAGGTGAGACCTAGAATAGCAATGGCAATCCTGGACAACAAAGAAAAGGCAGGAGGTATCAAAATTCCTGGCTTAAAATATACTACAAAGCTACTGAGATAAAATGAGCATGGTACTGGTAAAAAAACAGATCCAAAGATCAGTGGAACCGATTAGAAGATGCAGACACCACTACAAACACACCCAGCTACCTTATCTTTGACAAAGGGGCCAAACATGTTCACTGGAAGAAAGACAACCTCTTTAATAAAAGAAGCTGGAAAAACTGGCTTTCCTCATGCCAAAGACTAAAACTAGACCCCATGTCTACCACCATGCACAAAACTAAAGTCAAAATGGGTCAAAGATCTAAATATTAAAACATAAACACTAAATCTACTGGAAGAGAAAGTAGGTCGAAGCCTTGAAGACATAGGAGTAGGCAGAGAGTTCACGAACAAAAAACAAACTGTATGGGAAATACTTCAAAACTTTTAAAAAACTTTCAGAGACAAAAACCACTGTGAGTCTTCAGAGCAGAAATATCACACATAATTTAATTGAGGTTGCTTCCAAAGGGAAGAAAGCAAACATAATTCTCCTTAGTTTTAAATCCCTTGGTTCTAATTCACCACCACAAAATACAGTATTATATAGTAATCCATGCTAAGCAATATGACACTTCTACCTTAATTCTCAGCGCAAAAGGGGTGTAAAGTGCAATGCACATTTACTGTCTAGGTATCAGTGCAGCAGATAGGGAAGAAGGGGTGCTTTGATAATCAAAGCTTTCTCCACAGACTTCCTGCCAGGCTGCCCTGGATGCTGTCTCCCTTACACTTGGATATGCACATACTTATGCTCTAACCACTTATTCAACTCAAATATTCTCTCCTGATCTCAAACCACCAATCCTTTGTTGAAAGCTCAGCTCTACTCTTCAGGAAGAATGAGGATAGTTAAAGATTACTGACCGATAGGACAGACACTAGGAGCATTGGACAACAGATCTGGAGAAATAGAGGGCTGGCTGGTGGGCCATCACCATTTCTCCACCCAGAGAATTCAACTTCCACCAGGGCTGCCCTGCCGCCACCCTCCTCTTCCTGCCTTGCGGTCTGCTTCTAAAGTATACAGCAGTTTGAAGCTGGAAGCTAAGGGCACTTTTGTCAATCTGAGCATAGGGTCTTGTATTCTGTGATTATTCAGAAACAATGTCAGATAACTTGTGTTATGGGTTGAATTGAATTTCAAAAAGAGATAGATTAAAGTCTTGACACCAAGCACTCAGAATGTGACCTGATTTTAAATAGAATCTTCATGAAAGTAAATAAGGTAAAATGAGGTCATTAGGGTGAGCTCCAACCCACTATCACTGGTGTCACTGTAAGAATGGGAAATTCAGACACAGCAACAGATACACTCAGAAAAGATGCAGTGAGGGCACAAGGGGAGAACACCATGTAAAGACAGAAGTTAGGGTGATACAGCTACAAGCCAAGGGGCGCCAGAGATTGCTGGCAAAACCCCGAAGTGAAGAAGAAACGAAGAGCATTCTCTTCTTCAGGAGTCAGAGAGAGTGTGGCAACTGCAACGCCTTAATTTTGTGCCTCTTGCCTAAGGAGCCATGAGACAATACTTTTCTGTTGTCCCAAGTCACCCCGTGTGTGGTGCTTTGCTACAGCAGCCACGAAAACCCAATACCACATGATACAGGGCCTTTTACTTAATGGATTTCTATGAACAATCAAATCCCAGTGCCTCACTATTTGCTCAAAATGTTTCTAAACAGGGACAAGTGTGGAAATGAAGAGTCAAAACACATCTATTTATTCATTAAAGGCTACAGGAGCAGCAAACATGCAATAGAGAGCAATAGTTTTGCTTGCACTTAGCTTCCAGTAGTTACCATAGAAAGCATCGACTTTAATTTGGCTTAGCGGCTCTTTCCCATCAGAATGTGATCAAAACAAAACAATGCTAGAGCACACCAAGGCTCTCAGGTACAGCACCAGCTTTTCCAAGGGAGAAGTTTGCTAAGTACTCCAATGGTCAGGGACTGTTTCAAATCAAATATGTCACTGATACTGCACAAAGAAAGGGTCACAATTATGCAGGAAGTGAGTGTTCAGAAATTGTGACCTCCTGGGAATTAAATGTTTACTACATTGAAAAGGTCACAGGTGAAATTTAACACCCAAGGCCTACAGTTGGTAGCTTCTTTTGTTACGTATTTGCAAGATTATTAATATTAAAAATTTGTTCAAATATTTATTAACATGACATCTTAGCAGTATTTCCTGGAAAGTATTTCAAATGCAGAGTTTATCCATTGATATTTCACAATGGGAATACATTTTAGTATTATAGAATTACATAGGATACAATCTCTTTTTATAAATTGTCTTTAAAAATTATCAGTTATTCATCAAAATAAGAAAAGAAATAATTTTCTGTAGGATGAGATAATGTTAAAGGAAACTTGGCTTATACATGTTCTAATTTTGATTAAAAATAAATTAGCAGACTGTGTGTAATTGTCCCAATTCAGCACCCTGTCCTGCGTTTGTCACTGTTCAGGAAATGAGAGCTTTCTTTTTCTGTTCTGATTTTATCTAAATTCTCTCCTGCACTGTTTAAAGTCAGTGTTACCTTTAAGCCCATACGACATAGCCCTCTTGGCTCCACAAATTTCTTATGATCTGGAAGCTACGCAGGAGTCTTTAGATACAACAAAAGGAAATGGAAAAAGTAATAATAACAATTTTCTAATAGGTAGCAAGAAAGTCTTCTTTGTCCATTGCATTCTTGCCCCAAATAGTTCTTCTTACAAGGTCTTATAAAGTAATGAGAGCAAAGTGTTGTTGCTTAGTCCTGTGTTCAGTTACAGTCCTGATAAACATTATACAGACGCAGAGGGGTGAGGTGTCATCGCTCTTGCTTTCTTCTTATTCCTGTGCTGTGAAGCTTTCCAAGGTTATTGTAAGGCTTGTGCACAGGTTTGGATATCACATCCTTGTTAACTTTCACTTGTTTCTCAAGGAGTGATAAATCTCCCTGAGAGACTCCTCTTCACTTGTAAGTATCAATGTAGAAATGTTTTTGAAGGAACTGATGTTTTTTTTAAAAGGTCCATAGGCTTTAATCATAGTCATTTTAAAGTCAATTAATTGCACATAACTCAATGTGTTCTGTTTCCACGTTCAGTAAAATTGATCCCCACTCTGATTCAAGTGTG